TTATTTTACATTTCAGATTAATCTCTTTTGGCATTCTGTTTTGTCTGTCATTGGTCATTCATTTTTTTTCGAGCAAATTGTCAAAATAACATTTGAAATAGTATTTTACATTAATGACCTATAATGACCCATAGCCTAGTCTACATAATTAAGATCAAAAGCCATTCTATAAAAGCTTGTCCGGGGTGGGAGACATTTAGGCTATACCTCTCTTTAAAATATTTGACATTTGTGCTATAACAGCTACATTAGCAAATGTTTATTTCTTATATAGTGGCTGATGTAAACATAGCCTAGGCTACGCTACGATTTAAAAGTAAAGGAGCATCTTCCTCCATCGTTTCCAAATTTTTTTAAATAATTGATTTAGCCCACGGTAATACTCATTTCAGTGACATTTTTGTAATAATCTTAATATAATAGGCTTAATGATCATTCAGTGGATAATATGAAATATGAAATGTGTCGTCACTCGCTTTCGATTTCACTTTCTCAGGTATTCCGCGCGGAGTTTCTTTCCCACGTTCCTCTGTAAGAGTCGAGGTTCACACTCTCACGCGACCTGCCCTTTCTTCTTCTTGAAACCATTAGCCTGAAGCTAAATAAACGAATAAACAAACAAAACAAATATATATAATAGCCTACCCTACAAATGACTAAAATGAATGAATGAACAAAATACAGTAGTAGCCTAAACATTTGTAATTCAAAGATTTTAATTGCAAGATTAGGCTACATGATTGCGCTGAAATAAAAATAAAAAATTTCTGCACAAAAAATACTGCCATGTTTTATTTATTTGTATAGGCCCATATGTTACATTAGCTAAGGCAACGTTAATAATTGAATGAATGAACGTTTTTCATTTTATTTTTCACTATTAGCAATAGTCCGTGTTTACTGTTTATTCTAGTGTAATGTATTTGTGTTTATTATTTTTGTAGGCTACATATAGATGACTGTATAAGAATTCCAGTCTAGTGAGACACTCCGCATTCTCACACTGACACAAAAGCTGTTGCGTAACGGTGGTTTACCTGTCGCTCAGGTGTGCGCCGTTTACATCTGGAAAGTGAAAAGTCGTGTGTAATTCCCGAAACGCGCGCATATAAACGGCGGAGAGAATGGAGGAGAGACGAGATCTTCCAACAGCAGCAGCTCATCAGTGGATCATCAACCTGTGGCATCAGTCTTCTGGAGAACACGACACGATGGACCTTCGTTTGGTGCAGCTCTGCCTTCTTCTGTCAGCCTGCAGTTTCAGCTCTGTGCTCAGCTGCAGGTGGATAAAACACAAGTTCCAGCACCACCATGGAGTCTCTTTGGATCTGATCAGAAAGATGGTGAGTTTGACTTTTTTATTTCTTTATTTGTTTTATATATCTCTCAATTAATAATAAAAAATTGTA